TGATGAGAAGAAAAAAATCTCTCTAACTGCCTATCGACTTTCTATATAAATTTCTTTTCTATTTGCAATTTTCCATGAGCGAATTGATTGATTGTGCATAGTTTTGCAGAAAGCTTTTTTGTAGGCGTGTGCGTGTGAGAGAAACAAAGATCCTTGAAATCGTCAGACAAGTGCCTATTAATAATGTAGTGTATGGTCCTTGGAGAAAGTGCGGGGCTTTTTTGCTCTTCTTTACAAAATTTAACGCTTCTTTATGGCTTATCCCTTTTGAACTGTAACCGCGCGGGACGTGAAAAAGAGCCTTCGGGGTCTCCTTCGTCGGTTAATAAATTAAGCAAGTAACGAGGAGAGGTGCTGAAAAAAGTCCAGTGCTCTTTGTAGCTTTCTTTGCTTGAGACTTGTCTTTTATGTGTACGAGAATGCTTGAAAACAAGTTCCTTTTTTTTTTCATTTTTTTTTGACAGATCTTAATAGTTGTCAATATTCATAAGGCTCGAAATAGATTTTTTTAATCTGGGTAGAAAATGAAAAGTTGCTTATGCCAGTGACACTCGCCCTAAAAGCATCGAAATTTCGTCAGGCGCCGTTGGCTCATATACGCGCAAAACGAAGAAACCGGAAACTGTTGAGTGCGCACTTTCCGCGGCCAAGAGAGAGCGAGAGAGAGAGAGAGAGAGAGAGAGAGAGAGAGAGAGAGAGAGAGAGAGAGAGAGAGAGAGAGAGAGAGAGAGAGAGAGAGAGAGAGAGAGAGATGAAGCAGAACGGCGACGTCGAACAAGAGGCGCTAACGCGCGAGCAAGTGGGACAGAGACTTTTGGTGGATCGGCGGATCGAAGAACGCACTTTGGCATTTTATGAGGCGCTGCCGTAAATTTTTCATTCTCGGTAAGATGGGCACGCGACAGACGATTAAGCATTTGTTTCAAAGGTAACCATCAAATAGTACGGTATTCGCGCCTAAGAGTAGAGCCCAGAGTACCCCTTCAAAGTAACAACACAAAGCGACAGGGCAAACAACAGTCTAAAGTAAATGAATAAATAAGTAAAACAACTGAACGAAAAATAAAATGAAAAAGCTCGAATTCGATCGGAAAGTGCAATTGTCTGTCGACGAGACAAAACGCACACGCGCGCGCAGTCGAGGGACAAAGCTTTTCGGAATGAAATGCGCGTGTGCGCGCGGAGGGCGACGCGGCATCGCGGTTTTGTCTGGGCAAGGATATCGACCGGTGTGTGCGTGTGTGTGGCGTTGCCGCCGCCGCCGCTTCAATCATTGTCAATCGAGCTGCGATATACGCGCGTGAGGGAGCGCGGGAGGTGAAGTCAAATCTGATTTGCAAAGTGTCTTGCTCTCTTACTCACCGCGACGCGTGAATTTCAACTGGAACGCGGCGATTCTGCGAACCCCATATCGCGTTTGGAGGTTGCGTTATCTATCCTAAATATTTCAACGGCAAAAGGAAATCGACTTTATGAACGTTAGTTCCATTGATGAGATGGATTAGAAACCATAAAATACGTGACATCGTGTCCAGTTCATACAATTCTTATCAGAAGACAATACACAACTCTTTTATCGTTTCAGTTTATAACTTATTTTTCTAGGATCAAAATAGTAATCAGTCATTATCTTGATTTTATAATGAAGATGATACGACTATAAAGTTTTATGTGAATCGCTTATGGAGCTGGTCAAACTGAAATTGATATCTTTATGAATGAGTGGAAATGGAGAATCTAAAATTGCATCATTTGTTAATAAGTTTCATTCATGGTTGTAAACGTCTGAGATCATGATAAGGTACGTTTTACTAAAGGAAATCGACTAAGTAGGTCGTAATATGAACATCTGTTTTATTGATTAGTCAGGTGTCTAGCCATAAAGAACCTGAAATCATTCAATTCATTTTCGAATCTAAATAAATTAATACTGAACATCATCGCTATAAAATGAAATAATCGCACATCACGCCTGAATTCAGCCTTACGAATAAAAAAAGGACTTTCCCGCAAATGTAAGAAACAATTCATTTGCAACTTTGAGGAGTACACTTATTTCGAATTAACAATGCAATTTCGCTAAACCTGATTTACGCTTCTAAAGCTGTTAATACAGAATAACGTGAAACTGCCCGCACATATATCTATTTGTAATCAAAATAATTTCAGTAAAAAAACTCATTTGATTGATATTCATATTCTTTTTTGTAACATTAGGAGTGCCAGCACTAGTTTCTCACTACTACAGATATACCAGCAATAAAAAGTACTCCCGTTGCGTGGTAAGGCGTTGGCCGTGACTATGTTGCTTCAACAATATTTATTCATTTTTTGTATGATCATATTTCTTTTAGACGAGAATGAATCATGCGCATGGCTGTAACGAGAATACGAAATCAGTATACGAGTAATCTCAGAAAATCAATCGAACTAAAATGAAACAGAACATGAACAAATCTATAAGCGTTTTAGATTATACATTACTACTGTCATTCATATAAAAATTAAAAAAAATATTTTTTCTAATCCTAATAACGTCTTTGTTTTCACAATCGTTTTCAGAAACTAGGAAGAAGAGAGGCATGTCCGCGATAGTTACTATGTAGTGATCGACGATGGTTAGAGGTTTTGCACAGTTTCTCCGATTATTCACCGGACGGACGCGTACATCGTAATGACCAAACGACATGGGCTGGGAAAAACACGACATACGAGCTTCGGACGTTTGATGGCAAATTTTCGAAAGCGAGGGTGTAACGTTTTACAGCCTTATCTTTTTGGTGAGATTTGAAGAATGGACTACACGAAGCCTGAATTGCGAAGATTTAACCAGACTGGCATTTCTCTTGTTATTTTTTGCAAGGCGAAGGTTGCTTTCTTGAATCCATGCAAATTACAAAAATTACAACGGTTCAAAGCAATAAGATCGCGACGAATGTAAAAATTGCAACAAGGGCCCCCAAAAGAAAGAGTAGAAAAAGCGTAACAAACGCGCAGAGCGTTAAAAAGGCGCAGAACACAGCGCAGGCGCGCGCGCGCGCGAGAATTTATCGTGCGCGGCGGTGGCTGCGTCAAGAGTTCGTGGGTGGCGCCCGAGAGACGTAAACCGAGACAAGTCTTTTTCATTTTCACGCCCCGCGCGCGGAGATGCGTGTTTATGCAATCGCGATCTCGTGTTGTGGCTTCGCGCGCGCACACAATCACTTTTCCTTTCTTTTATTTTCCACGTACACAGCATTCGGGTCAGTATGCTTGTAGCGACGTTCGGGTGTGTTTCTCTCTCCCTCTCTCTCTCTCTCGCGCGCGCGCGCCCGCGCGTAATTTCGACTGTAAATTCGCATTTATACACATGGGAATAAGCAGCATTACGTGTTGATGATATTATAGCGTCGTGCAGGAGGTTTTAGCGTCTTACTTTATAAGAAAATGAAAGTGGCTGTGTACAGTATGTGAAACGGTATGTAGGCACGAATCGAAATATCTATCAAGCAGTCAAGCTAAAATTGACTTTTAATTCACACTTTCGGCTCATAAACGTCGCTTTAACGCTCTTTAAAAGTCACGCGCGTGCGCTCACTTCTTAGAAATCGACTTTATTAGATTGGCAGTCGTATAATGAAAAATTACTTTAATTTTCGCTCGAAACTTGGAGCTTCCAAGTATATCCTCAAGTTGCGACAGATTCTTCATCGTATTCGACCTTGCTGTTCGTCCCTCCTACACACTCCTACTGCGCATCTTATCACACCATATACCCCTGCGACAATGCTCCCGCGGTGTGTTGACTCCCGAAGCTTTATTAAGATTGAAGTCGTACATCCTCGAGGGGAAGAGCTTCTCCAGCTTCTTTGCAACATATATACAGAAGCGGCTGGCACGATTTCATAAGGATGATTGAAATTTCGAATACGAAGGATGAGATAAAAATTCGATCACCCCCCCCCCCCCATCCCCACGTACGGCATAATAAAAGAGATCGATTTCGCGAGCGCGCACCGCAAGCCCAAGAAGATCCATCGTGCATACATACAGCATACCGAAAACACTGACGTTACGATCAATATCGATGATTGCGCGCGCGCGGTCATGTACAAAAGTGAAGGAAGAAAGAGGCGTGTCAAAAGCAAGCTGCTCAAACTGGCCATCGTGTAAGAGAGACGGAAATGCTGCTCGCACACAAAAGGGATCCGCCGAAACGATATCGAGAGTGCGCGCGTGTGTATAATCGGTTACGCGATGTGTATATCAAACCCATCCTGCGGCGTTCTTTCTGCTCAGGCGCAGCGCGCTCGCGACGGTTACATGGCAGATTTGCTACGTACACGCCTTCCCCTACCCCTCCCTCGTTTCTTTTTTTTTTCTCGGAACTGTGACCTCTGGCAGGTGAAAGAGAGAGATTATTACCGTGAGTTTCGGTTACGTATATAGCTTTTTGAATAAATCAAGTTCATTAGACTTGGCAATTAATTGCCTTGCCATTTATCGCTTCAACTTTCTAATCATCAGCGCGCGCCTCCCGCAATATAATATATTCAAATTCTCTCGTCTGCGCCAGATCGATTCGATTACATCCATTATGTCGAAATTTCTTTTAAAAAGTAAAATTTGCCTAATCGCGCGATCTCTAACGCGAAATTTATGGCCGAATTTGATTATTATCGAAAAAAGCTATGCCGAATCGTTTTGCACTTTCGAATGTGTGGTCGACATTATTAACGTGAGAAATGTCAAAACCGATCGAATCAATAACCCTCTCGCTCCGGTAACATAAGTGGAAAATAAGGATATTGCGCTGCACGACGGACACCGCGGAATAAAGATTTACTCGTATTACCTGCGCGTTTAACGTCCAACTTTTATTCTAACTTTCATAAATCCAAGTTGAGAGTTCGCTTCCTTGATTTGCATGTAGCTTTTTTTGCGAATGGATTGGGTAACCGTGTAAAATTCAATCGCTCTTATTTCTCTTTATTTCTTTTTGCTTAATTGCGCATTCTCACCTTGTTCGAAGCGACGAGTTTGACTTCGCTGAGAAGTTTGACTGCCGGGGTCAGGTAGCATTTTACGAAGTTTTCCAGATTGCCGTGGTAAGCGCAAACGAGGATGTCGCGCGCTTGACGCGTCAAGATGTCCAAAACATTTTCGCCGTAGATGGGCCCGAGGTAGGTTCTTATCAACGATGCTGCGTCCGCTCGCACCTGAAAAAATAAAAAAAAGTACGACACTTTGATTACGCGTTGATATGTACAAATTATGAGCTTTTTATTCGCGATAACAATAAAACTTTCAAATGTCAAACACTTGATACGTCCATCCATAGTGAGGACTTCGACGAGAGCCAAAGTGCGCGTGACTGAATCGCCTCAAAACGGCTAACCACCAGAACTTGGAGCGATCGAGGAGGGGAGCCAGAATAAATCAGATTATATCGAGACGCATAGGGTAGGTGCGAGCATTTCCCTAAGGGGCAAAAACAAGTTTTGGCGCTTCGGCTCATTGTGCAAATAATGAAATGAGAGCACCCCCGATGTGCAAGCCAATAAACGCGCAAGTGTCTCTCTTTGCGGTGCGACAGGGGGCTCGGAGTATGTGGCAGCGGATTTAGCCTCGGTGGTTTGTTATACTTTGCTTCTGTGATTAATGATTATTGCGGAAAACGATTTGTGTAGCTCACTGGTTTTTACCGAGGGGCCCGTTAATCGACGTGGATATTTGGTCCAATTTTTCATGGGCTACAGTGTTTATTTTGATTTTCAAGGTTACGCCTATCCAAGATTTTTATTTCGCTCGAACATTCAACGCTTCTTTGGATATTATTTCTATTTCTCATAGAGAATACGATGAAAAACCCCATAAGGAACTTTCTCTTCTATTTGCAGTTTATTTTCGCTTTGTTAAACAACATTTAACTTAATTTAATTAAAATTGTTACATTTTAATTACATTGGTTAATGAAATTTAATTAAAATCTATTTACGAAAAGATAACTTTGCGAATAGTTTTAACGAACCAATGAAATCTATAAAATGATTGAAAGCAAATGTTTAAATATTTAGATCTTGAAATCCAGACAAGGGGGCTTATCAAAACAATCGCTTGGTCAGTTCAAACGAAAAATAATCAAGAGCACGTTATAAAGTTCTACGAAGCACATGATGAAGCTTCATCGCTGCTTACACCCACGCGCACACGCTCGAGCAAAAAGCTCGTGCTGCCAACGAGCAGACTGTTAATTGATAAGCCCGGCAGGGGAGGATGCAATCTGTGCGCGCAATCCCCGCTATGTTGCACAACGGATTTCCAGGCATACATATCGATTGTCGACGCTAGACAGATGCGTATATATTTATAGGCGCGGCATTGGCGTTTCTCGTTGAGTGTTTCTCTCCGAAAATTTAACGTGTGCATGAAACTGACGCGTGGAGATGAAAATAAAAAGGGACAATGGAAATTCACGAAAATATCGTGAGCCTTATTATACTTTTTATGACGAGTTTAAAAAATTTAAAAAGTCGTGTTAGAGAACATTTTCGCATTTATAGATGCGCAAATCTATTCGCGATTGTTACTGTACATAGAAATTCCGTTAAACTATTACTCATTTGAAAGATTGCATCAAAGTAATAAAATTGTTTTATTGAAAAACATCGTGTTTTTTTGCCAATCCAAGCATATTTCAGCATCCGCTTTATACAATTTAAGTAGAATCGTTCATTACCGAATACGGAATAAAGTGTATTTGACAATGGTACACAAGTTGTTCAAAACTTACTTAGTAATAAATACATTTTTTTTAAGAAGATTAAACCCAAGAATGATAATACATAAATATATTTTTCCTTCCCGAATGATTAATTGGTTTCCAACGGAAATTTTCTCGTGAGATACCAACATACAACAGTGAGGTATTCGTGTCCTGGTGATCGAATTTCTTTTAAATTTAGAACCAAAATACAGCTGTAATCCTCAAACATCGATGTAATGTATGTATCGTAATCTTCACAATTGCGTATATAAACATTACACCGTAGCTTAGTAGGACAGTGGAGCTGCATACGTATAGAGCGAGAGAGAGAGAGAGAGAGAAAGAGAGAGAAAGAGAGAGCAGAAAGACGAAGAATAACGGGATGAAGAAAAAGCTTGGTTCGCGAAATGAACGTGGCTCCGCACGATGTAACCATTACACCCGTGGAAGGCCGCCCACGTGCTTCCGCCCTCATGCGACGCGAGAGAATCCTCCTCGTCTCATCCATCCTCCTGTCACCGAGCCATCTTCCTTGTCGATGCGTTTTTCTATTCTTCAATGGAAATTCACTTTGCAGCGAGAATCATAACATTCTCGTATATTGAAATCGGCACACACGCAAACCGCAAAAAAGCATCTCACGACAGCAAGAAATAAAAGAGGAAGCGAGCGAGACTAAAGGACACCCGGAGGGATCGACGTGTGTAACCGGATACACTGTGCGTTCACGCATGATACGAGCGCGCGCACGTTGCATTGTAAGGGTGAACGATCGGCGCCCTTAGGCTATTCCTTTCGGGACGCGAAGAAGATGAACTTTCGTTGTAATCACGAGGAGCGGATTCCAAAGACATCGCAATTCGCTTTTAATTGCGAGTGCATGCTTCGATGGATTAGAAAATTTGAAGAGATTGGGGCTTATTTTCAACTTCCTTCGCGTCGGACAATTTAAAGAAAGAAAAATAAAAAAAGAAAATCCGGGTTTCAGATGAAAATTTTACACGAATTCCCGAACGAGCTTAAAATGCAAGATTAAAATCAACATTCAGAAGTGGAGCAGTACATCGGTAACCTTGCACACGCATACATCGAACAGCGAAAGCGCAAAAAAAAAAAGAAGTAAGCATCCGTGCGAACCTTATCTACATGTACAACACGACTATTAAACTTGGCGAGTCGGGGAGAGAGGATGTTGCTCTGCGCGGCGCGTCGACGTACACAATGCGATTAGCTGCGCAAGGCGCATATTTCCCTGGAGCATCGAGCCGTGAACTCTCACCTCATAATTTAAGCGAGTGAGGCCTCATGCGGCGCGCGACCGAGAAAGGGATCATCGCTTTTGCTTAGTATCTTTCCTTCTCTTTTTTTCTGTGCAGCCATTCCTGTGTGATTGTTAATTAAAATATATGTGCGTTGAATTTCATTAAACGTCGAAAAGTTATTAATCAGATGAGAAATTCGCGTGCAAAAAGTACTTATTATTCGCGCGACTTACTACGCGATTGATTATGCCATGGAAAACGTTCGATCCTTCGTAAAATAATTTTTTCTCTTTCTCGAACGAGTCAAGATCCACCATAAGATCCGATATAACAAAATCCTACATATATATGTATATATGTATATATATATATATATATATATATATATATATATATCACATCATCGTTCGCGGTATGTTAGCGTCAATGTTTGCGGCGCGCGTGTGTATCTTTTTTTCCTTTCATCCTCGTTCATTCGTGAACACAAAGGACAATGCCATATAGGCGAGTGTTGCATCCCGAGGGTACAAAGAAAGCGAGAGCGGGGAGAGTTACAGAAGAAAGCGACATAAATTAAAGGCGCGCGCGAGGCAATGTTTAATCGAAAGGGTGTAACCGCGTGTCCCTTTCATTAATTCATTTGGCGCCGAGTATATTGTAGCTAATGTGTTGGTGATTTATTTCCTTGAGAAAAGTCATCGGGTTCGAAACTGAAAGGGGAGCGAGAGAGGGTTACTTAGAGACACGTGACCAAACATCGATGCGTTAGATAATGCTTGACGTGTTTGCCCTTGCTGAATTTATACGAATGAGTGATAGGCAAATGAGAGAGGGAGAAAGAGAGAGAGATTTGCGATTAATTAACTGCTGGATGGATGCCCGCTGAGCTTTCGGTTATAAGGGTCTGTCGTTACGTTAATTTTTTGATAGACGTACAGGGAACCAGTAGAATTCCAAACCAAATTTTGGTTCGAATAGCGTTGTAATCGGGAGTAAATTTTTCGAATTTGACTTGAGACAAGAAAAACTTCAATGAAGGAGATAAAATTGAAATGATGAAATTTTATAAAATTAATCTATCGAATGCGTATTTATGACTTGGTTATTGTACTCACTCGAGGCGAAACCAAGCAGAGTACCTACATTTTGACGTGACGCGTAAGCTTATAGAGGGATCTTGATGTGTTTTTTTGTTAACACTAATTATATGTTGCAATTATTGTGAAGAAAAAAAGCGGAAAATTATAAAAATGTTAATTTTCATCATAAACATTTTTTAGTCGAATTTCGTGATAGAATAAGTTAAAATTTTGGAAAAAAATTAATCTTGCTATATAATCTAATTCATAATTGGTACTTATAGGAAAGATCTCTTCCACTTGGCCAATAATCAATCCTATAACATTTTTTATAATCGGTTACCACGGCTCGTAATTCCTCAAATGGAATCGTCATCTAATCAATAGAATATATAGACATTATTGGTGAACCATCTATGATATATACACGTGCAAAAGGCATGTAATTTGATTTTAATTAACGACCGATTTCACGCTCGAGACAGAAGAAAACAAATTGAATCCGCCGTAGAGATCGCGAAGTTGCCATACGCTGCTGGCGGCTGCACAGGTCGCAAAAAAAAAAGCGAACGGGTTGAATAACAGTTATCCGGCGACTTCGGGCTTTCCGCCCGAAATATTGGCTTTGCGTTTATCTTGATGACAAGTGTCTCGCTGCTGATCGTCGCTTGTTTAACTCCATGCGACGTACGCAGGAACCTGGCGGTGCATAATTGAGAGATATTGATGCATCGGGTCGGCAAAGAGAAAATTGCGCGCTCGCGCAGCGTGTGTCTACTATATGTTATGGCGTGCGTGTGGATTCACGTTCGATCGAAGGCGACACATTTTGAAAGTGAAAATTACGAAAATTTACACACGCGTTCCGGCGCTCTCTTCTTTTTCTTTTTCCTCTTTAGAAAACGCCGAGTCCGCGCACACTTACGCGCGAGATTCGCGACGATAAAGGCGAGCAGAGCGTAATTAATATTCGGCTGCGAAAAACACACGAATAAAGTTATAAGACGTGCCGCAGATCGCGTGAGATAATTCGCCGAAAGTTTATAGCGTAGCTTTTAATTGAACGCCCGAAAATAAAACATGCAAATTAATGATCATCGAGAAACCAAGTG